AACGAATTAGTTAGGGTTACACGCTCAGGTGTCTCCTGACAATATATTTTATAAACACTGGCAGGGTATGCATCAGACGCTGTAGGTGATGATTTTTACTAAAGAAGTACTATATTTTAACTCATAATAGAGTTTAATTTGTAATGTTGTATGTGTATAATACTTCTAATTCATTGTTTTTGATGCAAAATGTACTTGACATAAGTGGTTTGATACCTTAATAAATAAACTTTATTATTATTATTACTATCACCTAATGTTAAGTGACTACTGCCCCCCATGATCAACCAACACCAGGGGAATTGCTGGTGCGTTGCCGGCCCTTTAGAAAGGAGTAGGTAAGCTCTTTTCATTATAAAGCCGTAAGGCAAAACTGATGTGATTCACGCCTAAATCAATAAAGAATTACGTACTCAAGTACTTGATGTGTTGATTCAATAATTTACAAGATGGAGTTTCACCAAAGGACAACAATAGCAAAATACATATATTGTTTATTAAATTTTTTATGTAAAATGTAATTGCTCTACTATGAATTTACTGCTGTTATAGTTATATTTATAAGTTAATTTTTGTGTTTGATTCGTGCTGATCGTCACATCAAGTCGTTAGTAATTTATTATTATTTTTATCACTAAGGAAAGTTCACTCTTTTGATACGATGTTGGAGATGAGATTAAGTTTTCATTAAAAAATGGATTATCGAACAAATTTATCATTTTTGTTTTACTGTTATAATATGACTTACGTATTATTTGTAGTGTTTTAAATCCATTGCGCATGAGTGCCTGAAAACCATCCGTTCTCGCCTGCGCAAGCATTTCAGATGCACTGCAGAAACGAGGAAGTTTCAACATAATCCTAAAGATATGAATGAGTAAATGATCATAACGCGCTAACTAATATAGTGTTAGACGTTATTTAGTTAGTGTATACTGTATATTTATAAGTGATCGAAGGACACAGTTGTCTGCTACAAAAGAAGCCTAACTAATGTTTTTAAATATAAATAAAATATAGATACAAAAGTGTATATAATAGAGTTTCTAAATAGTTGATTTTTGTATATACAATCAATAAACTTTTAAATACACCTTTGATTTATGATTTATATTAAGGTTAAAATAACGTTTACATCAATTATAATAAAAAATGATTAATTTTATTTTGTTTTAAAAAGTACAGTCCTTAAAAATATTTTTAGGATTATGAAAAGTCGTAAGCCTGAAAAGTATGAAAGAGCGTTCTTTAATTTTTCTTTACCACTTTATTTTATTTTAATCTAAAATGCGACTTATTACAATGTTTTTATATAGCACGCGGTCTATCCAATGAACGACATTGTAGCGTGCTCCGAGATATAGCGTGCTGCTAAACCTAACGCGCTTGCCGTCCTCCTACACACTTTTTTATAAATAGCGCGCTATAACATAGCGTATTTAATAGCGCGCTAGAAATTTCTTTAGTCATTTTGAACAACTTTAACACACACACACACACACACACACATACACACAAAAAAAAATATATATATATATATATATATATATATATATATAATATGTAACGTAATTAACGCACACTATCAGACACCCCAATTAGTATATTATGTTATAATAATAATACATACACTGAATTTTTAGTTAAACATTTTTATGCACTGATTATTTATTAAATTAGTTATACTAATTCCGGAAGAATATTGTGGTCACAGTACAAATCCACGAACGCAAAGACTTTAACGTGCTTGAAATAAAGTTCATTTTCTTTATATTAATTGAATGACAGTATTAGTAATATTACAAATAAAACTGCACTCTTAAAAATCTTATTGGCTTAAGTTACGGTCCATTTCAGTTTGTTTTGACTGTACAGATTTAGTGTGACTGTAATTTACGTAGTTTTAATTATTTTTTGGATAAAAATTACCCATATTAAAAATGATAGGAATCGATTCAGTAAACGATTCTGAACAGGATGTGCGTTAATTATGTTACATGTTGTGTGTGTATATATATAAATATATGTGAAGATATTATTATATTGGACGCGAAGGGTGTTTAACGATCATTTGGTGTAGCTGTTCCACAGATCGCTCGTGTACATGTTTTGACAAAATGCTTTAAAAAGCGTAATCTTGACTTCATCCGTACAACGAGCGAATCTACGGGCCAGCATGTTACCACGTATCGCCAAAGCCCTACGCTTCCGTTTTATGTCAATCATCTCTAAGGTCGTCGGTAAGTATTTGGCTCAGGTACTTAAATTGGGAAACTCTGTTCAGCTCCACTCCACCGAGGTAAATTGGAGGTATAAATACGGGACACTTACCGGCCCCCTTAAAGACCATAAATTCGGTTTTTCTGACATTGTAGGCCGGACCATGCGACATAGCATAGCTCTCAATTACGTTCAACATCTCTCTGAAAGCACTCGTAGTGGGGCCCAACAGCACCATGTCGTCCGCGTAACTAATGTTGTTTACATTAACACCACTCACCTTATATCCCACTCGCATGCTGCTGAGCTCCACTATGAGGTCATTTACGTATAGGTTGAACAGCTTTGGAGACGACATCCCACCTTGCCTTACTCCGCAATCCAACTTGTACGACTTGAACAATTGGTCAGCCCATTTAACGTAATTTACTTGCTTTGGGTACCAAACCCAAAGAGATTTAGCACCTCCACCGGAACACCCCTGTCCTCCATCTTCCTCCAAAGCACATCATACGAAACCAGATCAAATGCTTTGGAGAGATCTAGAAAGCAGGCGTACACCGGCGTCCTCCGGCTTGTATAATATTGGACAGTGTGCTTTAGGCTTATTATTACTCTTTCAGTGGATAATCCGGGCCTAATCCCGAACTGCGCGTCATGTAACTTCAGATACTTTTACGAGCATGAATCAAGCAGACTGTCCAATACTTTGGCCACCGTGGTAGCAAGAGAAATAGTGCGGTAGTTTTTTTTATAGAAGAGGGGGCAAACGAGCATGTGGCTCACCTGATGTTAACTGAATACCGCCCCCCATGATCAACCGCAACACCAGGGGAATTGCAGGTTTGTTGCCGGCCCATTAGAAAGGAGTAAGCTCTTTTCTTGAACGTCCCCAGGTCGTATCGGTCCGGAAAAATCGCCGGTGGTAAACTATTCCACAGAGAGGTTGTACGTGGAAGAAAACTCCTTTTGAAACGTACAGTGGTGGACCGCCAAGCATCCAGATAGTGTGGATGGTATCGGGACGTTTGCCGCGTTGTGCATTCACGAAATTTGGCGGCCGGGATTAATCCGAACAATTCCTCAGAGCACTCTCCATGGTATATGCGAAAGAAAATGCAAAGAGATGCAACATCTCTTCGTGAATCGAGCCGATCGGAAAGCACTCGGCCGTCGACGATTCGAGCCGCTCAACGCTGAATGCGGTCAAGTGGAATTAGCTGGTACTGGGGAGCTCCAGCCCAGAGATGGGAACAGTGTTCCATGTGTGGGCGAACCTGCGCCTTGTAAACTTGCAGACGGTGTGCCGGCATGAAATACTGTACCGCTCTCCCGAGCACGCCAAGCTTTTTAGAGGCCAATTTGGCCTTCTCTTCCAAGACCCTTTTTACTGGAAACGAGGCATTCCATCTTAGTCCTCACGGGTGACAACGCATCTGAATTTTGATTCGTAATCGAGGATAGATGTAGATGTCTATGAGCCACAGCAACCACTTACCATCAGGTGGAGTGTGTGCTCGTTTGTCACCCTATCCTATAAAAAAAAAGTGACCACGAAACTGCACGTCATTCGGTATGGCGACGCCGAGGATTCCGATACTGGCTGAAGCAACAAGGGGAGTGCCTTGAAACTGAGGAGATACGACAAAGGGATTCTTTTTAGCGGTTAACGCGCAAACTTGTGCCTTCTGGGGGTTAAACTGGACTAGATTTAGTCGCCCCCAATCCGAGACTCTGTTCAGCAAAGACTCGACGTCAGACACAAGTTTGTCCCGGCACTCGGAGACCTTTTCCCGAGAAATATTGTCTCGGCCGGTGTAAAGAGTGTAGAGTAAAGAGTAGAGAGTCACCAGTGCTGTCATCTGCATAGCAATGAATGTTACGGGTTTGCAACATATCATTGATATGCAGAAGAAACAGCGTTGGCGATAGCACGTAGCCTTGTGGAACACCAGCATTAATAGACTTGCAATCGGACATACATCTACCACTATACCTACATCAGTGACAGTATGCCAGGCTGATATGGAGACCATACAGTGGTCTAGCCACCTCTTGCAATCGGAGCTTGCACCGTCTACAACGCCTTGATGCTCCGATCTGCAAGAAAGCTGGTGATCCAATCGCACAATTTCAAGGGAGCTTCGAAAGAAGCGCTTTGTGCCAAACCCGATCGAAGGCCTTCGCAATGTCCAAACTAACGGCCAATGCCTACCCCTTGGACTCTACTGGCTCCGCCCATCTGTAAGTTAGGTAGACCCGAAGATCGCCAGCTGACCGACCACGGCGAAAACCGTATTGGCGGTCACTAATCAGCTGGTGATCCTCAAGGTACCTCATGAGCTGGCAGTTTACAATGGACTCCATTGTTTTGGAGAACAAGGAGTTGATGGCTATAAGCTGGTAGTTGGACGGGTCTGAGCGGTTTTTGCGGGGCGGTTTTTGCGGGGGGAGCGGGGTCTGAGCGGAGTTTGCCTTATCCGAGATATCACCTATCCTGTTTTTGACAATGGGCACCACAATAGTTTTCATTAGATCCGGTGGTAGATATGTATGTCCAATGCACATATTGAACAATATAGACAGGACCCTTGGCAGGTGTACACCCGCATGTTTTAGGTGGTCGATACTGAGCCCGTCGTTTCCGGGAGATTTGCCCCTGCTCATCCGCTTGATTACATCTCGACTTGACTAACCGTAAACAATAGCACATGTTTATCCACCCGCACGCCAGGCTCAGGCTCAGGCATCCCCATGGAGGGGCCCAGCAGCGATCGTACCCTGAAATGTTCCATAAACAAGATTGCAGTTCCCTCCGGGTCGCTAATCCCATCTACTCTGGCCGTCAGGCCAGGCTTAATCTCCAGTTTACAATTTCGCACAACTCGCAGTTTCGCTATTTTGTCCATTTTGATTTGCTCTTGGTTATTTATGCACCATTCGAGTCTACTTTTAAAAACCTTACGTGACTCGCGTCTCTGCTCGTATATTTCGCCTGCAGCGGGTCCATTATATACAACCCACATTTGAAATTTAGACCCGGCCTCCCGATGAGTATCTCTTACATTTTTTATTCTAGCCACACATGACCTTTTTTCTACGAGGCTTATCAATTTTTACGTAATTTGTTTCAATAGCCGCCATTTTTAGTGTACTTACCATTTGTTCATAGAAATTGTCAACCAAACTTTTATGACTGGCGTTACCGCATGACCCGTGACTGCAACTAGTGAATTTGGGAGGGAAATCAATGTCTCTTAGCTCTTTATCACATAACTCTTGATACTTTCTTATCTGAGACTCACTTCTTTCTCCCCACGTAACCGCACTGCGTTGCATGTCACGCGTCACCAGGTTTGGGCCTTACATTCTCTAAACTACAGTCTAAGTAGATAGGCAGATGATCCGATCTACATACATCTACCACTATACCTACATCAGTGACAGTATGCCAGGCTGATATGGAGACCACACAGTGGTCTAGCCACCTCTTACCACCATGACAATGGTCTAGTAAGGTATACGTATTTGACCCTAGCATTTGTACATCTGCACATACCCAAGACTGATCCGTACAGAAACGACTTAGTTCGGTGTAGAAAAGTTCTTCGGGATGTACGATGTAATTTATACTCACAATCAATCAATACATGTCAAAAATAGTATCCATATGACATTTATGCACGGACAGGCACTATGTTTTGCCGGTATTAGTGAAAAGATTTTCGATCGTTCTTAAAGTACTTACCTATAAATGCTAATATACCTACAACTTTGTTTAATATGTACTATAATTATTCAACTGTGCACTATTTTAACTTTTAATGCCGGTGAAAGTTACTAGAAAATCTTTCAGTTTGTTTTTAGGTTACTGTTAGATTCATATTTTAATTGTTAATTTCTCAATACTCCGTATAACATCAGGACGTTAAACACCCCAGTCCCTCCCGTGAACATGGGTGTTGTAAAGTAAAGTATTAAAAAAGTTAAAATTCTTAAAAATAGTTTCATTTCAAATGAAGTTCTATTCACAGTGAAACTGGGGAAAACCACACTCATGAACGGATGTAGAAAAATGTTCTACAAGTAGAAGGATTCTACAAGTAGAAGGTGGATTCCCTTTTGCCGCCACGACTTGTTGTGGCGGCAAAAGGGAATCCACCACCTCATGTCGTTATAGCAAATATCCAGCCTATTTGACAATTTATGGGGGAGGCCTATGTGGACGTTTGATGGGCTGTAATGATGACGATGATGAGTTCTCCGCATTAAAACAATACATTAACAAATAAAAAATATTTAACGATATGACCATAATATCATGAAATGGCAATGTTGTTTAGTTTTTTGTGCTTAATATCGTCAAACGATCTCTATACGATGAATAGTCATTGATTCGGACAAGCTATATTATGACATCATGATCAACAAATAGTGTTAAATTACTACTACTATTTCACGAAATAACAAACAACTTTACTTTACTTTTTAGTTCTTCGAGCTATATGGCCGGCCCATTGCCACTTCAGCTTACTAATCCGCTGGGCTATGTCGGTCACTCTGGTTTTACTCCGGATATCCTCATTTCTGATTCTATCACGCTGAGAAACTTCGAGCTTAGCCCCTCCGTAGCTCGCTGAGCGACCTTGAGCGTCCTCATACGGCCAGCAGTGAAGGACCACGTCTCAGATCCGTAAGTCATCACTGGCGACACGCACTGGTTGTACACTTTAGTTTACAGAGATTGAGGTATACCTGACGAGAAGATGTGTCGTAATTTACCGAACGCTGCCCAACCGAGTTGAATCCATCGATTGACCTCTCGGTCGAAGTTGAACTTACCTAGTCGGACTATTTGTCCCAGGTACACGTACTCGTCAACAACTACGAGCATAGTGCTCCCAATAATTACCTGCATAGGTGTCACATGGACATTAAACATGATCTTTGTTTTGTCCATGTTCATCTTAAGATCTATCCGTTGGGAGACACCATTGAGGTCATTGAGCATAGTGCTAAGGTCCTCCAGCGATTCTGCCATAAGGACTATATCGTCGGCAAATCGAAGGTGAGTGATGTACTCGCCATTGATGTTAATACCGTATCCTTTCCAGTCCAGTAGCTTGAAAACGTCTTCCAACGCAGCGGTGAAGAGTTTCGGGGAAATAACGTCACCCTGTCTTACACCTTTCTGCCGTTGGATAGGTTTCGTACTCTGGTTCTGTACTCGGATAGCCATCGTAGCCCTACTGTACAAACACTTCAGCACTTCGATATACCGACAGTCAACGTGGCACCGCTGAAGAGACTGTAGCACCGCCCAAATTTCGACGGAATCAAAGGCTTTCCCATAGTCCACATACGCCAAGCAAAGTGGCAGATTGTACTCTTCGGACTTCTGTACAATTTGCCGAAGGGTATGTATGTGGTCTATGGTACTAAAGCCTTTTCGGAAACCGACTTGTTCGGGGGGCTGTAAGTTGTCGAGACTACGTGCGAGACGATTCGTAATGACTCTCGAAAACAGCACGTAGACGCGGCTCAGAAGGGAAATCGGTCTGTAGTTCTTCAAGAGAGCGTTGTCGCCTTTCTTAAAGAACAAGACCACCGCACTTCTGCTCCATGCCTCCGGAGTAGTGCCACCATGGAGGACGGAATTGAAGAGCTTCAGAAGGATGTCAAGTACCGGTGTCCCACCCGCTTTCAGAAGCTCCGCTGTAATTCCATCCTCGTCTGGGGTCCTGCCGTTTTTAAGGTGCTGGAGAGCCATTCTAATCTCGCTCAGACTGACGTCCGGGATATCATCGGAATAGTTTCGGATAAGACTTGCTCTTGTATCGTTACTCACACTTGCGCGTGGCTCCAACGATTATGTGTACAGCTGAACCTCTCAATCTCACTCAAAATCTCAGGTGTCCCGGAAACGATGCTGCCACATTCAGTCTTCAGCTTTGACAGTTGGCTCTTTCTGGCAGACAGATCTCTGGCAAAGACTTTGGAGCCCCGGTTCCGCTCGATCGCTTCTTTAATACGAGCAGTATTAAAGTTGCGTAAGTCTCGAAGCATGCATTTGGAGATCTGTGTTCAGTTGCCTGTATGCTGCCAAATCTGTTGACGATTGCAGCCTCTTCTCCCGTCTAACAGCCATGAGATTAAGAGTGTGATCGGAGAGTTTTTGTGTTCTTCTGCGGCGGGTATTGCAGAACTTAGGTCCGTAACTATATATATACAGAATGGGTCCCACATATATGCAATAAATGAAACCATATACTTGTTATCGCCTTTGCTGACGATATACAAAAAATTAACGTAATCGGTCCAGTAATTAGGTCAAAAAGTAGAGTTTTAATTTTAAGCAAATTTGAACACTCTATAGAATTGGGTCACTAAGTCAATGATTCAATGAACTTGAGTCCTTGAACATTAAAAAGCGACGTTGCCACGCAGTGCAAATTATTGGTATTGCAACATATCGACAGCGGTGTCTTTTGTCGGCGTGCCACCCGCGTGCAACGTTGTCACTCTTCCAAGGGGTCAAGGTACGTTGTCTAAACAGAGTGTTCACTTTTACTGAATTTATTTTAATATTTATTTTGTTTGAAAATTTCACTTTTTTATTTTACGGGTTTTAATTTAATATTTAAATTTTTCTACACTTCTACGGACTAGTATTACTTGTGGTTTCATTTATTGCATATATGTGGGACCCATTCTGTATATATATATATATATATATATATATATATATATATATATATATATATATATATATATTGTTGATGCTCGTGTATATGTTAGTAATGGAGCGAGTTTACTGGCGGGATGTCAACTGGAGAGCATGCAGTAGCAGTAGGATGAGCAATAATAACACTTCTTCAGAGTTTTCTTCTATTTATTTTCTAGATGTTTTATTCTTACATTGCCGGATTTGGAATGTTTAACCACAAAAAACGCCTCTTTTTTATAGGCAATTCTGACCAATCACAATGGTTGAATTTTGCACACGGCACTAATGTATTGCACACGGCACTAATGATTTTCCGTTGACCAATCAGAGCGCAGGGCGACCTTTTCTAAGGGAAACTTACAAATGTTTTTTTATTTTTGTGGTAAAACATCCCTTACAATGTTTTTATACATTTCTGATATTAGAACTAGTTTATATTTATCATATTAAACATTAAACATTCTTAAAATCCTTATTTTATACCTTTAATAAATAAAAATACTGAAGCGGTCTTCTCACGGTATAGCTCCCTAGTAGCTAAGCTTATCGCGATGCCCCCAAACAAACAGAAAAACCCTCCAAAACCCAACTCCCCCCAACCCCCCCCCCCCCCAAGCACCCCCCCCCCCTCCCGCCCCAACCCCCCCCCCCCACCCCCCCCCCCCCCCCGCCCACCAAAAAAATCAGAACCCCTTTCCCAAACAACATTACGCTTAATCTTAAGTAATTATGCAGAGTACATTTGAATTTTCTTATTGACTAAAATCTATTTTTATAATAGAAAACGAAATTATACAAGTAGTTAAATCACGTATTGGCGTAGTTTTTAAATTACAATAAAAACAGAATTAAACAAGTGATTAAATTCACACTTCGTTGCTAGCATTTCTAATGTAGTTTTATAGATTATAAATAAGAATAAAGTTAAAATAAGTAATTAAATTCACTTTTCGTCGTTAACATATATTTATATATATATATGAATTTCTTTGATCAAACTATAAGGGTAATGAGAATCTATCTCTAAAACTATCTCTATTCATTGATTCGGATAAGCTATATTATGAGATCATGATCAACAAATAGTGTTAAATTACTACTACTATTTCACTAAATAACCAATCAAATCAAATAATTTATTCAGTGTCAGAGTTTTTACATAGCAGTGTTGTGAATGAGGAT